CTGGTGGGGCCACTGTGAGATACAGGAAGCTGGACCAGATGGGCCCTCCTTTGCCTGATCCAGCAGGGCCCTTCTTATGTTCTTACCATTCCCTTCTTCTGGGGGCCCCCTGAGACTGTGCAGCTTGCACCAGCTCTTCTGGGATGCATAGTTGGTATTCAAACTCCCAACCTCTGGCTCCAGAGCCAGATTCCTAACTCACTGAGCTATCCAGCCAACTAATGTTGCAAATAAATAAATAAAAATATATCATAATTTCTATTAAAGTATAGGCCAAAACCCTGCTGGAAAAAAGATCACACTTGCAACAGCAGCCATGCAAGCTGTGCCCCCACTTTTTGCCAGGCTGTTCTTTGGACAACTGATTTTGCAACCAGATCACAGCCAGTTGTACAAAAGGCACCCGGCCAATGCGGAGAACTGTTTCCCCTTGCCTTTTATGCTGAAACAAGAGGGATATTTTCTTTCAACCCCACTGTTAGTTCCAAAGCAGCTAATTCCTGCTTTTCAATTTGTATACCATAGTTTTAACATTTTAATTAGCATGTTTTAAATTTGGAGGGGGGGCGGGGGTAAGCCACCTTAGGTCTCCCCAAGGGGAGAAAGACAGAAATTAAATTAACTAAACTTAAAATAAGGGATTATTTGTTTTTGTTTTTAAAAAGAGGACTCTCTTTTATATTCACTTCATAAACAAAAACATATAATCTTAGGTTTGCTGGTTGGTCACTCACACAGTCCCTTATGAATGCACATATAGGTGTCTGTTGTATGTATATCTGTGGGGGGGCACAAATAAACGGAGGAGGTGCAATAAATATAACAGTGAGGTCGCATACTCTTTGCATGCATAAACTTCAGTGCAATAACATTTCGAATGACAGGCTCTCATCAAGGCTGGCAAAATACTAAAACACAAGGCCTCAAGTCTAGGCTATATGAAACGGTGCTTATAATTCAATATGAAACAGTATGATCCGATTTCTCTGGTCAACCCCAGGTCCCTGGGGAAAACACAACAAAGTCCCCCTCACGCAGCAGCCACCCAGGTTCACAGACAAAAGACAGCACTGACACAAAGCACCTACTTAATCCCTGAGCAGGAGAATCCTTTGCAACTAATCCTCCAGGACAGATGCTAAAAATGCGAGATTTCTTTCCCCGGGACCAGCTGTCCTTTAGGATTTAAGAAGGGGACTTCCTTTGGCCTGGGGCCACTCCCATTAACACCGCGTTGGGGGGGAGTGAAGCAAGGAAACGCTCGCAACTTCTTTAACCCCCCCTTCTGCTTTCCTTTGGTCTCGTCCGAACTCTCCTTAAAGTCCCTCCTCTCTCATTAGAGCAGCCCTTTGCGCGCTACGTTTACCTAAATGCCAGTCAGCAGATTCGACGGTTTCTTATTTCTGACGCCTTCGCGCTGGTGAGCGTCTGCATCTGTAAACAGATACAAAAGCACGCGCGTGTTGTCTTTGCAGTGCGGGTTAATTTTTGGGCACTTTTCAGTTATTCCGAAACATATCAAATGTAGCCTGACAACGACCCTGGAAGGTTGGCTGCACGGACCTAGAAACCCCTGGAAATGGTCACCATAAATCCATATCAAAATGAGGGCACAAAATTCTTATTATTAATAACAAATGTATTTCCCAGCTTTGGTTTTGGATTTTGTTTTTTGTTTTTAAATCCTTTTTTAATTGCTGAACATCTTTGGTTTATATTTGGGATTAGCAGGTTTTTAAAAGAGAAAATTAGATCAATTTTTAGACCACAGTTTTCAAAAATAGTTTATATTTAAAATAAAGGACAGCATTAAAAATATTCAAGGATTAAACAAACACCAAGGATCAGAAAAGTAAATTTTCATATTGTGGGGGAGGGGGAGTATAAAGATGATTATAGTAAATCATTAAAAATGTTCTTAGTAACATTAAAAGTCATAATCTAAAACTTGCTTCTGTAGATGTAGAGTATGCAACTTTTTTCATTTCAACACTATCCAAACAATAAATCAGTGCACTGTAAACACTGAGTAAAATCTATAGAAATTACCCAGTTCATAACTGGCCATCTTTTTACCATTTTGCAGAATTCCTTTTCCCAAAAAGAGTAAATAATGGGGGAAGACCACCACCCATGCTCATGTAAGCCCAGTCCTTGGCACTTTCTCCAACAGAAAGGACTAAGGTCCTTATTAATATAACATAGCTTTATAACATAGCTTTAACTACCGTGTGCCGACAACCTTAACACAGTGTTCATATACTGACAAGATTGATCTTACTGGTGCCTTGTCCTCCACTTTCGGCAAATCATTTTCACCAATATTAAGACCCCCCCCGTCGCCTCATATGCTTTTGCCCTCCACACAAGAAAACCTCCAAAAAGAAGCACAGACGCTAGTGGATGGAGATGGGCTTGAAATGCTTTCTTTGTGCATGTTTCTGAACATAAAATATTTTGTGCAACCCTTCTGTTAAATCTGCTTTAGCATGGATGGAAGTGTGCCCCTCTATTGCCATGACATGAGTGAAATTAATTGTAGATGAACCGAGTTTGACAAGTTGCTTGAATAAATTGCTAAAAGGTGTTTTTTTTTAAAAAAAAACTCAATTTTTTAAATATTGAGGTTTTTTAAATGGTTAAAAATCAAAAGCACTCTGGAAACCATTGAAGAAGTGAGGACTGATAACTTGTGTGGGGTTTGGGTTTTTGTTCAAACAGGATCAAATCCCAGAAAGAACCAAAGGTGAGCCGATTGTTACAGCACTGATCATATTTTATCTATGGGAAGAAAGAGAGTCTGTACTGACAGAGCAAGCATTTGAAGAGGAAATAAAAACTGCAGAAATATTTATCTGTGACATACAACAACAACTGTGTATACTTTTTAAGACTGAAAACCCAAAAGATTATTTTGAAAAGAAAAAAAAGAAACAATTGTCATGGCAAATGATACAAAGTCTTTTTTTTCTTTTCCTTCTTTTGCCAGTTCATGTTTATGCACTAACATCAAACAGTATTTCCTAGTGCATTTTGCTATGCTGAACTTATTGAATGCATTTGGTCCAGGTCATAATTTATCATGCAATGAAATTGCTTTGCAATTGTACAGTGAAAACCAACCCCATAATACATGCAAATAAGAGGCAATGTATCTATTTATTTAAAGTACATTTCTCTTGTCTTTTCAGTAGGGAAGGAGCATATAGCAAAAGATAAAGCTCTCCCAAAAAGGCACCAAATGAAACAAATTAGCAGAACAGTCAGCTAAAATGGAAGGTCATTCCTCCAGAATACTGGGGGTGGAATTAGACTATACACTTAGCATGTATTTAGAAGAGGTATTCTCTGATGTGGTAAAAGCTGTGTGGCATAGCACTTGTTTTTCCTCACTTTGTATTTTAGTTTAACATGCTTTATTTTGAAACAAGTCATTGGAAGGTAAAAAGAGACTATTTGCAAATCTCATTGTTGAGGTGTATATGTCTGAAGATATTGTGTTATGGGTGGGAAAGCAGATGTGTCACACAAAATGTGTATTCCCCTCCGTGTCTAGTTTGAGGTTAATAAAGAAGAGGAATTGCCGATCTCAGTGAAGGGCATTCCAAAGCCTCAAGGCAGTGCAAAGTCTCTGTTCTTATTTCATTTAAAGGAAGAAGGTTATCATAGGACATAATATACATAGCTCTTCATAGGCCTTATCCAGACTATGGAATTTTCCCATCTATCTGATGGAGTTAGGTGGGCAAAGTTGTACTCCCTGCTCTGCGTCCTGGCTTTAATCTGGTGCCATATGTTTCACCAGGAAACAAAGGGAGATGGGACACAAATCCCAAGAAAACTTTTCCATACTAAGGAATTATTTAGGGGATTGTGCTACATAAAGGTTTGTCCAGAAGAAAAAAAAATATTGCTCATAGCAAAGAAGAAAACAGCTTTTAGGTGTGCAAAACTCAATTTTTGAATCACAGCCCTTTGCACATGCATAACAATTGTCTGAACAACAGGACATGAGCCATAGTTTACTTCAAACCATTCTTTGCAACTTTAATGTTGCATCTTTAATGTTTCATGATTTATCCTTATCTTTTCAGTTTCATTGTGAACTACAACATACTGTATATGGATTAAGGGGGCTGAATAATAAACACCATCATCTTTTGTTCATAACTTACTGTGATGCTGCATTGGACGTTTTACTTTATTTGCCAGCTTGACAGTGGGATATTGAAATAGTTTTGCTACTGGAGAATCATTGAAATCTCAAAGGTGAAACCTGATCTAAAAATATTTCTCTCCCTGTAAACAAGACTTAAAATGTCAAAAGCCTTCCAGTATAATCTGGCATTTTATAGCACTTTTTTTTATAGTGCGGGAAATGACGCATGGCTAAGTCTTGGCAGGGACTTGCACTAAGTTCATGGGGCCTGAATGAAGCTTAACACTGTAATATTTGGCTGCCTATAAGAATGGCAAGCAGATATTATCCTAGGGCTTTTTTCCTTTCCTACTAATGTAATGCCCTAGATTTTATTACTGCCAGGAAGTGCTTACTATAGAAAATAGGAGAGAAATAGCAGCGCTGTAAAAATATACCGTATGTGCACACTCCAAACAGTATTCTCAGAACTATCAAATATGACTTTGCAGTATGAAACTTACCCAATGAACAAGAAAATAACCATTACTTGAATAAAAGTTATCAAATTCTCATTTTCTATAATTTTATAATACGCATGTGAAATTATTGGGACCCAGGTGATTCAGTGGATAGAGTGATGGACCTGAATTCAGGAGACCCGAATTCCTGCTCAGCCACAGAAATACACTAAAGGAAGGGACAGTGCAACTGGTAAAACCACTCTTAAACATTTCACCTAACCTAAAAGCCCTATTACGGTAGTTGTAGGTCCGTTCCAACTTGAGAGCACATTGTGAGGGTTTGGGTCTTAGGGCCTCCCTTTTTTTCCAATAAAGCAGGAGTCGTCTTAACATCAAACAAATAGTCCTCTATTTATTAGATCAGCCGAAGGAACAGCAACATCATCAGGTTTAGGTAATGAAGGCTCTTACGAGTACAACGGTGCTCGCAAAGGTGACCATAAGTTTGTTTCAAAAGGGTTTAACGGATTAATGTCCCAGGGTCCTGATAACACCTTCTCAGGTTCTGGAAACTCCAACTCCTCCGCCTCCGGAGTTAGAAGCGGGATGGTCTCTTCATCCCCTGTCCATCCCCAGAACAGGGTGCCCTCTCCCAGCTGAGGTTCCCAAGGCCCGGGTAATACCCCATCTTCCGGAGCTCCTCCAAATGCCATGCCTTCTTCGCCTCCGCCTCTCGCGATCGCCTCCTTCTCCTCCCTCAGGCAGCGCCGCCACTCACAGGGCTCAGATTCTCCCCAGTACGAGGGACGTTGAGGCAGACCTTTTCTTCTCCAGCTTTCTGCTTCTGCATGGGGTACCCGGACCTGTTCCCAATTCCCCATCCAGGGATCCTCCAGCCAAATCGTCTCCCAACCACCCGGCATGTTGTCCCGGGTCTCTTTTATATCCCCGCCTCCCGCCTCCACCATCAACCGTTTCTCTTCCCCTTTTCCTGTCAAAACCATGTCAGTTTGGGTTGTGACATTTAACCCCTTCATACCCGTTTCAATATCACGAGTGTCTACCCCTTGATGTTTTAACCTTTCCCTCCTATAACAATCTTCCAAGTTCTGCATGTCTAAACTCTGGTGCTCCATTTTTGGTGGTGAAGGTAGCAGGGTGGTCTGCATTCCCCTAGATGTTCTAGGGAGCGACGGCACTCCTAGTAAAGCCTCTTGACCCTGTTCTCGGGCTTCACACGCATCACATATGAAACTACTGATATGATTAAGTGGCAATCTTGTGCACACTTACTTTGGAGAAAAACCCAAAGTATTCAGTTGAGACTTACCTAGAAAAAAGCATGCATAATATAGGACTACACAACTCAGTGGCATGTGTTATTGTTTTTTTCTGTTAAATAGTTGAGATTCCAAACTCAGGATAGAACTTTTAATTTAATTTGATTTTTGGATTCCAACTACCCAATTTTTCAAATAATTCCTGAGGCAGAATTCTGGGTGAGACAGCTCAGGAACACACATCTATACTAGCCGTGTTTACCTCCATTGGTGCCTCATACCTCCCATTCCTATATTCAAAAGCACAGAAGCTACACAGGGCTTCTTGGGAAGAATAAGTCTTTCTGGGAGGTATAGTCTTGCTGCTCAATAGGCTCTATTGAGGGTGCCTCAG